AGATAGACAATAAAAATTAAGAATTGTAGTACTTTTAAACAATTTTAAACAGTCGCAAGTCAGGTACAGTCCTGTAAAGAAATTAACAAGAATATCTTTCCGTTGGCTCATCTGACTAGATTTTTCGTATCTTTTATTATATCACTGTTGCAGGCATACCTGTCTATAAAGCTGTCTCATTCGTTTCGATTTGCTTCGAGTTTGCTTCCTTTAATTAAGCCTTGAAATAAAACCGATGACAAATCATTAAAATTTTAGCAGTCATCACAGAAACGTGCAATTCAGTTAATTCTCTTCTTAATGCAGTCGTCGAAACTATCGGCTGGTACCAGCGAGGCGACTCCTTCTGCCAAATTTCGGTTGGCAAAATGTCTTGAAATCGTAAAAAGAAAAAGATCAGCGAAGAAGACCGTAGAAGTAGACAGAGAGAGGGAGCTCGTTCGATGGAAAGCGCTGACAGCATCGTGACATTCCTAAACCGAGCTTTTGGCATCTGACAGCAGGGAACGGGAGGCGATGATGCTGTTCTCAAAATTGATAGTTGATTTCAGAACGCGGCGTGGAAATCAGCCGCCTGTTCGATCGTAGCTGTACAAATGGCTCGCCGTATTTCGTAATCGCTTTGTATGCACATAAAAAATATAATACGTTCTCTCTTTCCGCTGTGTCGCTGCTAGTTGGATCTCCGCATTTTCTATGTATAAGCGCGAGGTGGGTCCGGAATCCCTTGAGTCGCCCGTACGTCGATACGAACGACGTCGAGGGGTGGCATGGTTAGAAGGAAAATAACCATGACTCTGCGATTTGAGGGTGAACGCACTATCGAGAACCCATCTCGTTTGCTACGAGACAAATGCCCCGCGTTTAGATAAAGAGATATCGTCCACTGTTTCACACGTCATTTGTTTCAATTCGTATAACGCCGCGTGCTAATAAAATTATTTATCGTACCATTTCACTTCTGATCGATAGGGACACTTTTGCTTGAGAATCGAACGTCGTTCAAAATCGTATCAGTGTCTTTGAGAGGTCTTTACATAATTGTTTATTGTCAAGAATAGAATCTCAGCTGAAAGATGAAATCAGATGATATTATTTAATTCAATATGTAATTTTTAAACTCTGGATGTTTATAAGAATTTCTGCTTATGGGAATTTATAATAATTTAAAGGAAGAGAGCCCGCAATAATATTTAAAAAAATGCAAAATTTCTAAAGTAAAATAAAATTTTTATGCTATCCCTTATGTAATTTCAATTGTCATAAACAAATATGCAACTGAAACGTGAAGAAGAGAAGTAAAAGACTAAGAAATATATTTTCCTTATATTTTCTACTGACGATTAATGGGAGCGGACCTACTCTCCCTTCGTTCATCAGTCGTGATATTCGTTATTTCCTGACACTTACATAAATACACACATGTACGATTGCATAAGGTACAATACGTGTTCCAATAATTGAATTCCATTGTCAGGAGGAATAGGGGCTATCGAATAACTCGGGTGATTCCGAAGAATCGGTTCAGATTCACAGAGTAATGCTTTCGCAGCCATATCATTCTCCTGATTGCCTCCGCTAATCATATTTACCGTCTTGCTCGCCTTTCTATTCGGTATACTTACTTCCCCGCGTGAAACACATCCATCGCGCGCACACAGCCCTCGCGTTAGTCAATCAAACTTAAGGGCAACAATAAAGGTCCCATCGCCATAAGTATTAGTCTAATTAATCACGGTTAGGACTGTAATGAAAACGAGAAATATATTAAGTATATTAATTATAATTATGTATCGGTATTTATAAATCATGGGCCTGATGGACGGTGCAGAATTCCATAGGTGAAGTCCTCAAGACTAAGAAGTCACGTTCATGACTTATACACATTGAGTCATTGTAGACTGGGAGATCTTAGACTTAGACTGTGGTATTGATTAATGCCCATAATGTAGACTCATAAGACCCCGTAAGATTTATAAGAGTTCACAAGACCCACTCTAAGACCCATAAGAATTCTTAAAATCCATAAAAGCCCATAAGACCCATAAGTCGGCTTCATCCAGTATCCTCCAGGTCTGTACGTCACCTAGAAGCATTCGTTTCTGTACTGACTACAGAAGAATGTGCGGAAGGAAGTGCAATTAGACGGAAGACGTCTGAACGACGGACATTGTCCACGGGTGGCGGAACTGCCCCGGACAGGCCGAATGCAGTAACAGGGGTTGCTGCCGGGTGTAGGTTGGATAAGGAGGAAGAGGGACGACGCTGAATAGCACACAATGCGCGCGAAAAACGTCGCGTCAGGTTGAACCGATAGTTAAAAGAACGAAAAACGAGTCTCCCGTCCCCTTATTCCTCGTTTTGAACTTATCGTGCTTTGGTAGTTAGTTTCGACAACGACATACGATGTGAGTATTGACAAACTACCGGGAATGAAAACATTCTTCTGATTTTAAGTCTGTATTTAATTAACATTGGGGAAAATGTTTCTTCGTATCTACCCACCCAAGTGTAGTTGCAGTTAATTGTTTCTGGGAACGTTAACCCCATCTATTAAAGTGATAGCTTGTTTGAGAAGTTGATTTTAAAAGGAATTAAAAATTAGTGAACTCTGTTCATTTGTCTATGTAAGAAAATATGAAAGAAATTCGATAAGTTTTCAAGTTTTATTATTACAGAGTTCACAGAAAATGTTTAAGTGTTTGTTTCGAATCTAATTTATTTAATTTATATTTAATGGTGAAGAGTTAAATTTATCTATCATTCATTATCTAGGCTGAGTTTTATGACCTCACACCTCTTCTACCGACTGGACTAAAGGAGAAACGAAGAAAACGGTTGGAAGAGGGAGAGATATATTTTTCTGTGAAAAGAAAGACCCTTATCTACTGGTGATTATTATCGGGCTTTAGGAGTGGGAACGAGGCGATGGTAGGAAAGGGGTTTGGTTGCTGACGATGACCATCCCTCGTACTCGTGGACACTGGACAGTAGAATGAACTTCTGAAGAGAGGCTCCTATTGTCCCAAGTTCCGAGGTCGAGGATGTTAAAAGTGACCTAATCCCTCGATGATTTTTCGTCAGGGTTCTCTCTCGTTCAGAAAACCGGGTGTCGTGTTCATCAGTCGATGATCGAACCCTCGTGAGACACTCGACCGGCGAAAATTGATCGAATTTTGTTGGCGGACGTGACCGGAATTGACAGACGATAGCTGATATACGTTTTAAAGTAACCGAACACCGGGGCTATGAGGATCGAAAGTGCCTCGTTCGAATACATTCAATTTTTCTACGCGATATTAATCCGTATTGGCTTATATTTTGTACCACTGATCGTGTTTCAGTTTTATATCGATAGACCGAAGGTTTGATCCATTTGTAGAAAAATTAGGTGAACAAAAAATATAAAAAAACGCGTATACTATGGAAAAGTGTAACATGAAACGTAACATGAAATGGATCACCATTATTTTTAAAGCGTAAAAAGTTCTCAATTTTATTTTTTAAATTGACAAACGATGTGGGAAAAGAGAATGTACATGAAAAGTCTTTATGAAAAAAAAAAAAAAACCGTCACGGCTGGAAATCAGAATCCAATCTTCTTTTGACAAGCGACAAAGTTTACATTTGCTTATAAAATAATTCGAAAAGGACTGGTCGCGGTGAATGAAATAATTTTTCAATCAGCCACCGTTTGAGTCGTACAAAGAGTTTCATTTAAAACCGAGCCAGAGCATCCCCGATGCACGAAGAATAAAGCTGAAAAGATGTTCCGCGAATGAGATTATAAAATAATAGCAACGTAATAACGTCTTACACATCGCTGGCATACAATTTTTATCATTGTTTTCCTGGGAGAATCGGAAATACTGTCGCGAAGATTCAATTTATATTCACTTGGACACATCCAAATGGTACGCGTAGAAGGTTGCATGGAACATGAATAAAATGGCATAGATAAAATGATGAATTGTAAATATTTGTTCTCTGATCTATCGCGAAGCTCGACGTAACTCTAAACGCTTGAGGCTATTCATTTGGAAGTCCGAACAAAATTACGTTCAGAGAAAGCAATTCTCGCAAAGCTTTCATCTTTCTTCTATCATTCACATTGCATTAAAAGACATATCTTCTACCATAGTTGAAGGGAATATT